CCTGGACTACCTCATTGTGTCTTGCAGTGTAAACATACAGAGTATTTACATATCAAAATATATATTATTTAATTATAAATAATTTTGCGTTCATTTCATATTTATGTCATAGTTAGGGCATCATTTTTTTATTTGAAGTTAGATGTGAAGATAGACTATATTCTTTATTAATTTAATTTCAGGACAGTAAAATGGCTCTGTAAATATTTGCTATCCTATGGGGACGCTGGGTGAGACTGGGTTCAGAACCCCACTGTGATGCACCCCACTGCAGCACCTCAATGCCTCCAAAAGCAGAAGAAGGGGCTCAGGGATCTCCCACCAGATTTTCACATACAAGCATCTGTACAAATGTGTGTGTCTGTCCTTTATATTTTTTCATATAAATGAGATCATACTTAGCATATTATTCTATAACTTTTTTGTTTTCCTTTATTTTTTCTACTTTTTTTTAACTTAAAAGCATGTCTTAGACATTTATTCACATCAGTACAGATACTTCTACTTAATTCTTTTTAATGATTGCATAGTATTTTATTATGTTAAAATTTATTTAACTTAGGTTCTCATAGTAAAGATTGGAGAAAATAAAAAAAAATCATTTAACTAGCTCCTATTAATGGACATTGCATTGTTTTTATTTGTTGGGCATTATAAATAATTCTGTAATTATTATTCATATATAGATATTGTTGTGCATCTGTGTGAATATATCTGAGTCAAATTCCTAAGAGTGCATAAAAGTTCTGAATCAAAAGGGTAGGTATGTATATTTAAATAGATATTGCCAAATATCCCTCCAGAGATATCACCAATTTACACTCCTATAACAGTGTATGAGAAGATCTGTTTCTCATACCCTCTCCAACACCAAACTTTAATCTTTGATAAGATAATGCTGTTTTTTTAAGTGTCTCATGATTGTTTTAATTTGCTGTTTTAAAATTATGAGTCAGATGTACATCTTTTCATATATCGTTGGACATCTGCATTTTTCCTAATGGATTATCTATATCCTTTGCCTATTTTTTCTTCTGATTTTTGCTTATTCATTTTTAAACACTCTTTATATGTTAATGAAATTAGCTTTTTGTCATCTGTGTTCCAATTTTTTTTACAGTTTTGTTCTTTGTCTTTTGGATGTTTTTACATACCAAAGATTTACATTTAACAGTTATATTAACTTTTTTATCTTCTTTATTTGGAACTTATTTTTAAAAGGCCTTTCCAATTCTAAGATTATAAAAAATTCCCTTGTTTTTTTATAACTTTATTATAATTTCATTTGTTACATTTAAAGTTTCGTTCAACCTGAAATTTATTTTGCTATAGACTGAGGTAGGGACCCAGCAGGCCCGAGTGTCCCTACACCATTAACAGAATGAATAATTTATCTTTTCTCTACTGATGTGAAATGCTGCATTTATGAATGTCCATGCTCTATTCCTCAACTCTCTGTGCTGCTCCATTTGTCTGTTTACTTCAGTTTCAGTAACAAAAAGTTTTAGTTATTGTAGCTTTATCAGATGCTTTAAAATATGCTAGGACTTTTACTTATATGTCTATTTTAGAATTTTTCTGACTATCCTTCGGTGTTTGTTTATCTAGTATTGAGCATAATTTCGACAAATTCCAAAAGAAATTCTGTTGGCATTTTTGTTGGGATGGTTTTGAATTAATAGATTACTTAGGGGGAATTGACATCTTTATGATGCTCAGTCTTCCTATCCAAAAACAAACTATATCTCTCCATTTATTCTTATGTTCATTAGGGGAGTTTTAAAGCTAAGTTTATTCCTAGCTATTTTATATATATATATATAAAATACGTATATATATGTATTTTTTTGTTAATGGGCTCTTTTCTTCTATTATGTTTTCTAGCTAACTATTATTTACTTACAAAAAGGTTAATGATTATCTCGATAATTAGAATACTTCTAATATTTCAAAATTAAACACAATTCTGATTTTGCCTGAGATATTTATATTTTTTTCTCTGTAACATAAAAGTGCTGTCTCCATAACATAAAAGTGCAGGGTAAAGTAGCAAGTGCTGATATAGAGCTGCAGCAAATTATCCAGAAGATCTAGCTAAGGCCATCGATGAAGGTGGCTACACTGAACAACAGATTTTCAACATAGATGAAACAGCCTTACACTGGAGAAGATGCCATCTAGGACTTTCATAGCTAGAGAGCAAATGCCAATGCCTGGCTTCAACGTTTCAAAGGACAGGCTGACTCTCTTATTAGGGGTAATGTAGCTGGTGACTTTAAGTTGAAGCCAATGCTAATTTACTACTCCAAAAATCCTTGGGCTGGTAAGAATTATGCTAAATCCACTCTGCCTGTGCTCTGTAAATGGAACGACAAAGCCTGGATGACAGTACATTTGTTTACAGCATGGTTACTGAATATTTTAAGCCTACTTTTGAGACCTACTGCTCAGAAAAAAAAGATTCCTTTCAAAATATGACTGCTCATTGTACCTGGTCACCAAAGAGCTCTGATGAAGATGTACAAGAAGATTAATGTTGTTTTCATGCCTGCTAACATAACATCTGTTCAGTCACATCTTCAGGCTCCACTTCTAATTCTAGTTCTCTTGCTACTTCCATCAAGTTTGCAGTTACTTCCTCCACTGAAATCTTGAACCCCTCAAAGTCATCCACGAGGGTTGGAAATCAACTTCTTCCAAACTCCTGTTAATGTGGATATTTTTACCTCCTCCCATGAATTATAAGTGTTCTTAGCAATATCTAGAATGGTGAATCCTTTCCAGAATGTTTTTAATTTACTTTGCCCAAATCCACCAGAGGAATCACTGTCTATGGCAGCTATAGCTTTACCTAGATAACGGACATAACTTTTATATGTGCTGGAAAACCAAAAAATGTGTGTGACTCGCGTTATTGCAATATCTGCTTTATTGAGGTGGCCTGGAACCAAACCCACGGTATGTCTGTAATGTCTTCTTGTGATCTGCCTAAACCCAAACTTCCCATGAACCCCAACAGCAAACCCTCCCCTCTGCAGAACAGTCTCCTCTGGGATCTTATTTGATCCTCATGAGGACCCTGAGAGACCAGGACCATTTTACAGATGGAAAAACTGAAGCTCAGAGATGTGTTTAAAGTCAGACAGCAGGCAGTGACAGCACTGGATGAGCCCCAGGTGACCTGTGTGGCAGAGTGGTGACAGAGTGGCCCACAGCACAGGCCCCGGTATTCAACTGCAACTCCACTGCTCACCAGCTGTGATCTCAGGCAACCTACTTAAGTGCCCCAAGCCTCAGTTTCCTTATTATGATATGGACATGATAATAATGTCCCGTCTCCTGGGGTTCTTCTGAGGGTAAAACAAGTTCACTAAGCATAGTGCCTGGTACTCAGCACTCAATAAAGCGCCGCTTACTACTGTCATTAGCTAGTCCAGACTTCTTTCCACTCTACCAACCCCACCTCCCTAATTATTTGTGGTTCCTTAAAAAAATAAGAATCTAACTCTCCCTTTACACCTTATGTTGGGCAGGCCACTGCCCCTCCCTGAGACTTGGTTTCTGCATCTGCAAAATGGGGGTGTCTTCAGACTCTGGTGACACCAGGTGAGAAGACCTCCTTGGACATCTGTGATGTTGATAAAGGCTCACTCTGACTGAGGCTCCCTGGCTCTCTGACCCACGGCCAGCTGACACTTCCCCCACGCAGGCTCATCTGCACTTCAGGCTCTTGCCCCATCTCAGATGGACAGGGGACCAAGTCACTGTTGCCACTTAACTGACCCTCACATGGTACCTGGATCTACAAATGGGCCCTGGCTGCTCCTGCCTGAGCCCCAGGGCTGACCTAAAAGCCCAGGTCTTCGTTCTGGCCCTCCCTGCCTTGGGCCTGAGTGACCCATACTTAAAGGGCTAACTCGAGTCTAACCCAGTTTCCCTAATGCAACCACAGCCACCTGTGTCCTGCCTACCCACCCATGGGGACATCCTGCTACCTCAGACTGGACCCAAGGCTCTGGCCCAAGTGCAGCCCACCAGTCCCACTGCCTACTTGCCCAGTCCCCAAGAGAGGTTCCCGCCTGCCCAGTTGGACAACCTCCCTGTGCTGGCAGCTGGGTCTGTCCATGCGGGAAGACTCCACGTCATCCCAGTGCTGCTGGGGCACGGGTCTGCCCGTCCTGCCCCCCTCGTCTCTGCAGCACCGAGGCCCAGGCTGAGCAGCCACCAGGAGAGGAATAATAGCCACGTGTAGTGGGTGCGTACTGCGTGCTAGACCACAGTCTAAGCACCTCGTATGTATGAACCCTTTAATCCTCACAACAGCCCTGTGGGGTGGGTGCTAACACTAGTCTCACTTTACAGATAAGAAAGCCCCAACCCAGAATTCTTACATGACTCGCCCAAGATCACACAGCTAGGAAATGGCAAGTCCAAACCCCAAAGTGCGCCTCCAGGGCCCACACTCTTAATCTCCACACTGACAGCCAAGGAGGCTGCCGCTGGGCCTTCCAGAAGGGCAGCTGCTTTGCACCCACCCAGCACCTTCCAGCCTAGAAGGTGAGTCAAGCCTTCTTGACTCAGCCTCTGCCTAGAAATGTGAAGTGCCAACAGCCATCTGCGAGGAATCCTTCCAGAAGCTGATGCCCACTCACGAAAGGGATAAATCCCAGGCCTCTGAACACTCAGCCCCACTCACAGGGGGCCCCGACAGGACCCTTCCTGCCTCCACCCTGCCCAGTCCATTTGGCATTTGTTCTACGAGGCTTTATCAGAACAACATACAGCCACGCCTAGTCACAGCCGCAAGCCTGGCCCAGCACCTGACCTGTTCCCGGACCCTATAACCTCCTTAATAGAAAAAGGGCCAGTCACACCCCAAGGCACCAAGAGGCTGTTCTTCCCACCATGCACGTACTCATTCTCTCTCTCTCTCTCTCTCTCTCTCTCTCTCTCTCTCTCCCTCTCCCCCCCATGCATCCCCCACACCTGGGCACCCTCACCTGTCACGATGGGGTAGGACTGCGGGCCAGGCACACTGCTCCCGATGTCAGCGGGTGTGGGACTGGTCAGGTTGGCCTTCATGTCGTCCAGGCCTCCAGCCAGTGAGGCCATGGCTGAATACTCGGTGGTCTGAAAGAGGAAACAGAAGTTTCAGCACAAAGACCTTGAACCCCCCTAGTCAAATATCACCGCGACATTCTGAGCTCAGCCACCAAGGTGGGCTAATCCATGCCTGTACCAAAGCCCACAGGGGGTTCATGAACCCTCCAAGGTTGAAAGGGCAGATTCAGCTTTTAAACCATCCTCCTCAGTTCAGGGAGGGACAGCTCAGTAACCAAAAGCAAGGCAGACTTCAGAGTCTTCTTGCCAAGAAGATAAAAAGAAAGAAAGTTTTTGATTTCTGTGCTCTCAAATCACAGAAGTGGAATGACAGAAACAAGGGTTCAAAGGAACCTGGGAAACCATCCAGTCCAAACTCCCATTTCACAGACAAGCAAATTGAGGCCCAAGGGGAAGGGACTTTGCCCATGATTAACAGGGCTGAATCCCAGGCTAGGGGTGGATCACCATAACATCAACCCTAAGCCAATACATAAAACCAATGGTGCCAAAGCTTGGCACGTGCTTGGGAAATCTGGAAGCACACAAACACCTGAATGCTGAAAACCATGGGGTGCACATATCTGATTTACCAAGTCCACGCCAACCATGTGCACTTGGCCCACAAGTCATGCTCCTTTCTTTAAGCCAGTTCACGAAATCAGAGCTTGGGACAAGCTATTTCCTTGTCATCCAAGCCATTGTGTCCAGAGAAGATAGCAAAGATGCCAAGCTGGATCTTCCCACTCAGTACAGACTAAATTATAAGCATGAGCAAAACACATCTCTTCCTCCAACCCAGCCCCCAGGCCTATTTTCACGTAAAGAAAATATTTGCGAACACTTAAAGAATTTGGTTGTGATGCAGAGATTTAGTGAGGGGAGTTTCCTCCAGGACACTGGCATCCAATAGAGGACACATGGCTGTCTGTCCAGGATTGTGTCCTTGTCAGGCAGGGACAGGGAAGCAAGCAGTTTTCTGTAAGGAGTTGCAGGCACCCTGGCTGATGAGGACTGAGCCACTGGGAGGGAAACCAAAGGAGCTACTGGGCAAGTGGCAAGCAGAAGGGATTCGACTGGTATTTTTCTCTACAAATCAGTTAGAAGTACTTTCTGGGCAGCTTAGGAGCCAACCAGGGTTTATGGCGGCAGTGAGTCCAGGAGGCACGGTGGGCCCAGGCTCTCCGAGATGATTCTCACTGAGGACAGCTTAGCCAGAGGCCCCTGGGGCACCTCCCTCATCTTCCATCAGAGGCTGATTCTGAGACGTGTGGGGAAGAACAGGCCCCAAGCGAGCCACGTGCTTCTCAGGGAGAAGAACAAGGCTGGGGGACAGGCCGACCAGACATCAGGAATCACTATGAAGCCACAGTAATTAAGACAGTGTGGTATTGGCACAGGGATAGATAAATAGACCAATGAAACTGAATTGAGTCCAGAAACTGATCCGCACACATATGGAACTGTGATATATGAGAGTGGTGGTGTACAAATCAGCAGGAAAGGATGGACTCTTTAATAAACAGAGGGGGGTAACCGGTTATCCATTCAGAAACAGGGGGGAAAAAAGAAATTGGATCTTTACACCAGACACAAAAATCAATTCCAGGTGGATTAGAGACCTAAATGTGGAAGGCAAAGGCATCTCGTGTGGTCAGCTCTAGGTCCTGCCAAAAATCCTTGAGAACAAGTCTGCCCTTCCTGGAAGATAAACGGGTGCATTTTCTATCCTGGGATGCGCACACGGGGTTCCTGGTCACTGTGAGGACAGTTTTTGGTTCCCATGATCCTGCCACCCTGCCTCAGTGCCTCCTCCTCCAGAAAGTCTTTCCTGACTACCACTCCCCAGGAAGCATGATTCCCATCTTCACTCTCCTAGCCCTGCCAGGTGGTGCCAGGACACCAACCACAGTCTACACAACTGCACCAAAAGCTCACACTTAGCACTGACTCTGTTCCAGGAGCTTTACCTGCACTGTCCCATTTAGTCTTCACAGTCACCCCTTGAAGTAGGCTCTGTGTCAGATGAATAAACAGAAACTTCTATTACAGAGGGGAAGTGACTTGCCTAAGGCCACACAGCTTCTAGTGCCCAAGCTGAGATTCAAACCCGGGTCTATCTGATTCCAACATCTTGGCAATTACCCTAATGATTTCCATATAGTGGGTCCTGCCCCATTAAAAGGTAGTGAAATCAATTTGCTAATCCCAATATTTTAAAAAACGAAATTGGAATGACATAGCACAAAAAATACCCAAGGGTCTCACACATAGAAAGGGTAAGTCCTGTTTTGAGTGCTTCACATACTAGTGGGTATGTGTGTACTAGGCGGAGATTAAGATGTATTTCTTGCTATAGGTCACAAGGAGCAAAGTTTGGAAAACACTGCCTTCATTCCATATAGCAGTGACCCCCCCACAGCTGTTGGGAAAAGGTCACTGTCTAGACTTCATCCCCCACAAAATGGGACTTGATCATGGCATCAGCCTCCTAATTTGCTAAGAATGAATTTGTAGTAGAATTCCACTCACCGGATGCAGCTCCTTCAGTGCATTGCTGCGTGCAAAGATGAGAGGTCAAAATGTCTCTGATAAGGGGCAGCTTCTAAAGTTTCTGGGTCCCCAGGAGTAGGTTCCAGCTCCTCCCTCCTCTCTATGTTCCAGAATGCCCTAGTGAAGGTCTGCACTTAGCGGGTATGTATTCATCCGACATTTGTTAAGCTGTGTTGAATGCAATACGGTGTGTGAAACCAGACACACACCTCAACTCTCATCCATAAACCCCAAGAGAAAAGACACATGGCCCAGAAATTCCATCCAAGAGGGACAAGAGCACAGAGCCATTGATTTACATGGGAAGTGGTCAGGAAGGGTTTCTTAGGGCAGGCCGTATTTAACCTGGGATTGAGCCGTCCCTGACCCCCAAGGCTGAGAGCAGCTGAAAGAAGGCTCTGAGGCAATAGGACAGGAGGGACCCAGAAACAGGACACATGCAATAGCTAGAGGGAGTAAAATATAAAGGGGAAAGATGGAAAGGTAGAGGTAGACATACTGGTATTTGACTGTGAAGGGCCTGCACAATGAACTCTGGGTGAAAAAAAAGACGAGTGCTCCTTCATAGGGCCAATTGGCATCCCAGCCAAGAGGCAGCCTCCCTTTGCCCCTCCTGGACCTACCCCATTCCTAGACTCCAGCCTCTCTTCTCTGACCGGGCTGGGCAGTGGAGTCTGCAAGGCAAAGCCTCTATTTCCCCCAAGAAAGCAGAGCCGACCTGGGTTTAAGAGAATTGCAGAAAGGGTGGCCAGCAAGGATATCCTGCCTCTTAATGTATTTAATTGCCATATGGAAGAGCTTTTTTTGCTATTAGCTATTTGTTTTAGTCAATACATTCAGTATCAAACAAAGTTCGTCCAGTCACTTCAACAGTTGGGTTTGGATCATCTTCTCAAGATGTGAAATCGTCAACTTTTGTTATGTATGCAGTGGGAGGTGCAAAAGTCCAGTCACTCAACTGCTGTTGGCTCCCAAAAGGTAAAGCGAGCCTCCCTAAAGAGCAGGACCTGAGGGACAGTGGGACTTAGAAATGAGTCCCTTTACCATCTGTGTCTCCACCATCCCCACCTTGCAAGCCCTGCCTCTCCTCTTTGGTGGGATTCCCAGCTCTTACTCTGCTCCTGCATAGCCAGGGGAGGCTGTCATGTAGTTTTGGTGTTTAACTGTTCCCTAAATCCTTACCACTGTCTGTCCCTTTGAGCTGCCTGTGATTTCTAAAAGCAACTGCATTCTCCCCAGTCTCCTGGACTCCCTGGAACATGGCTACCCTGGCTGCTCCTCAGCCATTCCATGCACTGTCCCACCTCTTCCTGGAAGGCCCATCTCACTCAGTCACTTAGAGAACTCCTATATTGTCCACAAGACCCAGCTCAAATGTCACCTCCTCAGTGAAGCCATTCAAGGGCCCCACTTTCCCTCAAAGGAATATTCTCTCCCTTGCCTATGCTTCCATACTTGGTGGCATTTCGGCTGTTTGTCTATCTCCATCCAGGTTGCCTTGAGAGCATGGAAAATAAAACATCCCTAGTGACCCCTAAGTGCTTGTTAAATGAATGAATGAATGAATGTATGTCATCAGCCACAACACTCAAAATTTAACTGGGAAGTGTCTGAACAAGAGCTCCACGTGATATTCTAACAACCCACATCCCCTCCCCTCTGCCCCTCATCAAGTCAGGTGACCAGAAAGCAACATCCCTGTCCGACATGCTAAATCCCCTAGGGTAGCACCTTCACTGGTCTTTGATGGAATATCAGACGTTCCACATTTGTAAGAGGCAATAAAAGAAAACAGCCACATAAAGAATATTTTTTTAAACCTCTGGAGACACTGTTCATTAGAATATTCAAATTCCTTCCCATTCAATACCAGGGAAAAGTTATTTTCCCCAGATGAATCGTTAATCTGCCTCTGCCTGAACAACAGGAACACTAGAAACCACTGCCTATCTCTTTTTGCTTTGACTGCCAGGAAACTCAGTCAAATTCAGTGCTCGATCACCACAACCACATCATTACTATCTCCTGGCGCAGCGATCTTTCCCTTTTCTCTGCATTAACTTCTGAACTTTTTTGCAGACTTAACTAAGATACATGTAATTGTTTATTTTGCAGGCCACCTCAAGTCCCTTGTGAAAGAGGGGGCTGACAGAGATTGGCTGATAGAAAAAGAAAGAGAGGAAGAAAGGAAGATCACGGAGAGAGAACGAGAGAGAGAGAGAAGAGAGAAAGCATTATTGATGCCTCTTTTCCTGGTAACAATGGCCATCTTCTTCCATTTCTCACAGTTATTTGGGAAGCCAGGGGCGAAATAGTGGGGTGCAGGGGTACGCACACAGTCGCGAGTGTGCTGGTGCACCCATGTGCTTGGCTACCTTGTGCCCACCCCACCCCACCCCCAGCCACTGACAGCCACAGGCAACAGCTGTGTTCCACATTTCTTACTTCTCTGAGCTCTTTCTTAGGATGCCATTTCA